TGGGGGATTGACTTTCTTTTCATGATTTAATGGCATGGCCCCACCATCTGTCCATCCTATGAGAGTGCCTTTAGTGGTCACTGAGGCATTGGGAGTGGTATTTGGCTGGGTTTAGCCATAAGGGTAGAAGAGGTATTCAGGTCCAGAAGTGAATTCAAACCAAATCACAGAGGAGCACAGAAGATGCTATTTTGGATAATAAAGGTAATAGCTGGTATCTTGTGGTCTTAGATCTTAGACAGCCAGTTCACTTCAAAATTTTAAGGAATACAGGTTCACATTAAACAAGTTGTCATCTGTTTTGAAACCTAGTGTCTCTTTTTCTGTTCCCAAGGTATCTTTTCTTGGTTTCATGTGTAAAGTGGTTGAAAAGCCTGAATGTTTTTTGTGGCTGCTGACCCAGCTGTCTGCATCCTCATTGGTTTAGAGGCAGCAGAGGGAGCCATTGGCTCCTGCTGCTGTCAGCCACAGCCAGTGAGGAGGGGGGGAGGGGCCAAGCCCTGTTCTGTATGTCTTATGGATACACAGAGCAGGGCTTGGCAAGGGGGAGGAGCCCAGAGCACCAGAGGGAGACCCCAGAAGAGGAAGGTCGGGGCTGCTCTGTGCAAAACCTTTGTACAATGCAGGCAAGTATAACATTTTTTTCTTAATAGAGGCCCTTTTGTATCAGTTAAACCAGGACATTGTTCTTCCTTGACTGTCCTGCTGCATGGCATCACAACAAGATCTCCCTCCATTGTCAACAGTACATACTGTTTAAGTGTCTCTCTGCTACATTTTCCTGTGACACTCTATTTATTGTTCCTGAAGGTCTCCATTGGGAAATGCTTGCTTCTTGTTCCACTGGGAAGATTTATCAACTCGTCATTCAAGTGTATAGGCTTAGACAAGGTTCCACTTTTTCCCATCAAAAGCATTCCTTAGATCAGTTAGATACCGGATGCCTAAAAACCCTAGAAGCACTGTTTCTCAGATTTACAGGACTGCAACATGTCTTTTTGGTTAACATGTTCATTAAATTTTTAGGCTTCTTCTGATGTTGGCTTTGGTTGTAGGTTCTTCAGGTGGCTCTGTAGCCCCGCCTCTCTTAACCTGTGGTTGTTTGTAGGCCTGTTGGCATGTGGTTTTCTGTGCTACCCAATGTTCCTGAACTATTTAAAATGATACTAAAGGCAGTCTTTAATATTTTAATTTAAAAGAAAAAAAAAAAAAAAAAGACAATAAAAAAAGTTATGCTCACCTGCTCTGTGCAATGGCAATGCAAGCTGCTTGCTCAGGGGGCACACGTGTGTGCTCAATCTTTATCTGTGTCTGCCTATGGAGCTGCACTCCATAGAACCACATAGCGTAATTTGGAACCCATTCCTTCTTCCACCTCTTCACAGCATTTGATTAACAGCAGTAGGAGTCAATAGCAGCTGCTGCTGCCAGAGTCCCTGTGTGAAAAGAAATAAAGGAGAGATCCAGCCATGCACAGTGCTTAATTAATTGAAGTCTTGAGTAAAGAGCAAGATCACAGGTGCAAGCTCAGGCTCCTGCAGACGGTCAGTGTATCTGTCTGCTTGTACCTCGTACGGGCAGGTAGTTACACAATGACAGGAAGAATCAATTGACTACTAGAGCGCCCACTAACACCCTGGTAGTTCAGTGGGAGCTACAAGGCATCAGCCGCAAAGGCTGCCGGTACTTTTAGTTCATTCATTCACAGAACTCTTGAGTGTATCCAAAAATAATTGATAATTATATTTTATTTATTTTATATTATATATATATATAGGTTAAGATAACCAGTAGCTATCCCAAAACTCACAATGTGTTTTGTGGAACAATATTCACTTTTTCAGGGCTGTTTCAGAGACTGAGCTGTCACTGTATCCATTGTACCGTTGTATTATGCAGTAGGCAAAGTGCTATACTCCTTCACCCCATTCCTGATCCAGTGACATAATGGATATACAACTTGTCGGAATCACCCAGCTGCTCTTGAAAATCCTGTAGGCTAGGCCTGTGATATACACGGTCTTTATTGAATCCTCTGGAAAGTCTATCAGTCTATCTAAAGTGGTAATAAACCCAGGTCCCTGCATACACTAAATCCAGTCTCCCACAGTACACAGAACATGGAAATTCAATTATTGTAGCAAATATAAACTGCAAAATACCTTTTCTCATCAGCAGTATATAGCAGTCTTCTGACTTCGATCAGTGTCTGGTAGAGCACAGTTAACGCTTGTAGGAGGATTTTTCATTCTCTTCTGCTTGTCCTATGACACTGCAGGACCCCTGACCCTCTGTCTGGACAGTGCTGATTGGCCCAATTACATGCGCTTTCCCAAGGGAAAAAAAAAAAAACTCTCTTGCTATACACACACTGAACTAAGCATGTGCAGCTTTCCCCCAACACTCTGTTCTATCAGCAGATGGATTGGGGACAGTAGATATAAGGGAAGGATCAGAGAAGACAGGATCAAACATCCTTTTTACACAATACAGAGGATTAACCCCTTAGGCTCCACAGTGAGTATAAAAAGCATGCTGTACTGCATATACAGACTGATTTTACTGTTGGGGGTTTAGTAATACTTTAATGCACTGGTGGAGAAGGAACTCTGCATAGGTTTCAAAAGTGAAACTGAAATGGTGAAGTTATGCAGAACTCCAGTGTTGAGAAGAAAAATCTCCAGATGGACTAAATACATAACAATTTTTACAATTCTCTGTTACAGATCCTTATTTGCTTTTGGTCTGTAAATCCTGATAATACGCACTGCCAGCACATTTCTTTCTAAAAGTGGGCTGAGGGTGATCTGTCCTTACCATGCCCTCACCATCAGCTCCAATGATAACCATACCCCCCCATTGGTGTGCGTTAGACAGGAGATACCAAACTCTTTACTTCCTAGAAGGTCTAGCACTTGCTGGTAGTAATATAGGCTTTTATGAGGTCCTGTTTATACCCACATCCTCTTACTATGCACATCTGCTTTCTCTAATGCTACAGGGAGTGAAACATGGAGCCCCATCCGTCAGTGACCCCTCAGCCTGTCAATGTAATAGGAGTTACTCCAGCATAATGAATCAAAGCTCAGTCTGATTTCATTTTTCACCAATTATTTCCTTTCTTAACTTTTTGCCTCCTTAATTAGTAACATCTTTGTAGTTTTAGAATGTCTTTTCTTACATTGGCTGCTTTTGTAACAGTATGGGTTGTGCCCCAGAAGGTCTGGCAGGTCATGAAATACATTTCCTTTCATAACATGTATTTGTTGGGCAGATGTGCTCACCACACTCGGAACACAAACTCTGAGGCTTTATAATATTTTTTTTTTTTTCTCTTCCTCACAGATGTGTCCGTGGCTCCGAATGCTGCATTCGACGTCTCAATTTCAAGATACAGAGCGACTATTGTCATGACTATAAGAGCCTGCTGGGGTTTGAGACTATCCTATGTTTCAGCAACTCGCGTGGCAAAATAAGAGGTCACAGGAGCGGCACATGTGTTGTGTGTATGTTGAGCAGCTTTGTGTAGGTTCTCGCTGTATTGATGAGTTGAACGTCACTGCAGATTAGGAGTCACATTATTTCTGATGAGTGATTGCAGAGGTCTTTATAACTGCATAGAAAGGTAATTACATTAGTCTGAACCGCACCTTGAAGGTTCTGATAGTTAAACAGAGATATTCACTTTTGAAGGACGATTCCCTTACTACTAAAGCTTCCATTTCTCTACGTTTGTGCTTTCCAACCTTCACCCCTTGACACATTTTACAGTCCAAGGCATAATAGTTAGGGGTCATGTACACTGCAGCTCCTACACTGACGTTCAGGAGTTGTTCAGCAGGTTTTTTTAGAAGCCCCTGAACTCTCCCTAATGTTTTCTTATGTGTCCATGTCCACTACGTTGTTTTTTTGAACACACCAAACTTGCGTTCAGGAGTAGATTATAAGCGTTTGTATTTAACAGCATTTTTTAACTTCCATATCCAGATACTGTCCAGGGATTTTTTTCCTCATCAGAAATGCATGCAAAGTGTTTTCCATGTATTCAAATGGACCCGATACACCAACACAGTCAGTTCCATGTTTCAACTTAAGGAAAAAATGGTAGAACGTGCTGCATTATGCTCATAATGGGATCCATAGTGAATACAACCAGAAAAGACAGGTCATCTCAACACATACTGATCTCTGTGCTTCTGCTCTCTCTATTTCTCTCAAAATGTCTGAAATACAGTGGAAAACGAAAGTTTGGGCACCCCAGCCAAAAATTTGTATTAATGTGCATAAAGAAGCCAAGGAAAGATGTAAAAATCTCCAAAAGGCATCAAATTACAGATTAGACATTCTTATAATATGTCAACAAAAGTTAGATTTTATTTCCATCATTTACACTTTCAAAATAACAGAAAACAAAAAAATGGCGTCTGCAAAAGTTTGGGCACCCTGCAGAATTTATAGCATGCACTGCCCCCTTTGCCAAGCTGAGACCTGCCAGTGTCATGGATTGTTCTCAATCATCATCTGGGAAGACCAGGTGATGTCAATCTCAAAGGTTTTAAATGCCCAGACTCATCTGACCTTGCCCCAACAATCAGCACCATGGGTTCTTCTAAGCAGTTGTCTAGAAAACTGAAAATAGTTGACGCTCACAAAGCTGGAGAAGGCTATAAGAAGATAGCAAAGCGTTTTCAGATGTCAATATCCTCTGTTCGGAAGGTAATTAAGAAATGGCAGTCATCAGGAACAGTGGAAGTTAACTAGTTGCCGACCGCAGATAGCCGAATGATGGCTTCACTGCAGCCGGCCAGTTCTGGGTGGACGTCATATGACGTCCCCCCAGAACGCGCTCTCCTGCGCGCCCCAGGGGGCGCGCACCCGGTGATCTCCGTGATCGCTGTGTCCTACGGACACAGCTGATCACGAGATGTGGTAAAAGGCCGATCATACCGGCCTTTTACCACGTGATCAGCGGTGTCCAATGACACACTGATCACAGGGAAATGCAAGTGCCGGTTCTCGGCTGCACTTTCCTCACGCTGTCAGATCGTGAGGAAAGTACTGCCAAGAACCGGCAGTTGTCAGAGCGAGGATCGGCACCGATCATCAGGGCCACTGATGATCAGTGCCCTGATGATCGGTGCCCAGCAGTGCCACCCACAAGTTCCGCCCACCTGTGCCCAGCAGTGCGCCCACTAGCTCCGCCCACCTGTGCCCAGCAGTGCACCCACCTGTGCCCAGCAGTGCACCCACCTGTGCCACTCTGCAGTGTCACACACCTGTGCCCAGAAGTGCCACCTACCTGTGCCCAGCAGTGCCACCCACCTGTGCCCACCCACCTGTGCCCACCAGTGCCACCCACCTGTGCCCACCAGTGCCACCCACCTGTGCCCACCCACCAGTGCCACCCACCAGTGCAGCCCAGCAGTGCCCAGCGGTTGTGCCAGTCAGTGCCATCTATCAGTACCCATCATCAGTGTCGCCTATCAGTGCTGCAAATTAGTGCCGCCTATCCGTGACACCTCATTAGTGCTGCCTATCAGTGCCGCCTATCCGTGCCACCTCATTAGTACTGCCTATCAGTGCCCTTTAGTGCTGCCTATCAGTGCCCATCAGTGCTGCCTCATCAACGCACATCAGTGAAGGAGAAAAAATACCTGTTTGAAAAATTTTATAATAGAAACAAAGAAACTTTTTTTTTTTTCAAATTTTTTGCACTTTTTTTAATTTATAGCGCAAAAAGTAAAGTGCCCAGTGGCGATTAAATACCACCAAAAGAAAGCTCTATTTGTGAGAAAAAAATGATCAAAATTTCATATGGGTACAATGTTGCATGACCGCGCAATTGTCAATCAAAGTGTGCGGCAGCGCTGAAAGCTGAAAATTGGCCTGGTAAGGAAGGGGGTATAAGTGCCCGGTAGGCAAGTGGTTAAAGCAAGATCTGGAAGACCAAGAAAAATATCAGACAGAACAGCTTGCAGGATTGTGAGAAAAACAATTCAAAACCCACGTTTGACTGCACGATCCCTCCAGAAAGATCTGGCAGACACTGGAGTTGTGGTACGCTATTCCACTATAAAGAGATACTTGTACAAATATGGTCTTTATGGAAGAGTCATCAGAAGAAAACCTCTTCTACATCCTCACCACAAAAATCATCGTTTGAACTTTGCAAATGAACATATAGACAAGCCTGATGCATTTTGGAAAGAAGTTCTGTGGACCGATGAGGTTAAAATTGAACTTTTTGGCCGGAATGAGCAAAGGTACGTTTGGAGAAGAAGGGGCACAGAATTTAATGAAAAGAACCTCTGTCCAACTGTTAAGCATAGGGTTGGATCAATCATGCTTTGGGGTTGTGTTGCAGCCAGTGGCACAGGGAACATCTCACGAGTAGAAGGAAAAATGGATTCAATAAAATTTCAGCAAATTTTGGATGGTAACTTGATGCCATCTGTGAAAAAGCTGAAGTTAAAGAGAGGATGGCTTCTACAAATGGATAATGATCCTAAACACACCTCGAAATCCACGGGGGATTACATCAAGAGGCGTAAACTGAAGGTTTTGCCATGGCCTTCATAATCTCCTGACCTCAACATAATTGAAAATCTATGGATAGACCTTAAAAGAGCAGTGCGTGACAGACAGACCAGAAATCTCAAAGAACTGGAAGACTTTTGTAAGGAAGAATGGGCAAAGATACCTCAAACAAGAATTGAAAGACTCTTGGCTGGCTACAAAAAGCGTTTACAAGCTGTGATACTTGCCAAAGGGGGCAGTACAAGATATTAACTCTGCAGGGTGCCCAAACTTTTGCAGACGCCATTTTTTTGTTTTTCTGTTATTTGTGTAAAGTGTAAATGATGGAAATAAAATCTAACTTTTGTTGACATATTATAAGAATGTCTAATCTGTAATTTGATGCCTTTTGGAGATTTTTACATCTTTCCTTGGCTTCTTTATGCACATTAATACAAATTTTTAGCTGGGGTGCCTAAACTTTCGATCCCCACTGTAGTTGATTTTTTTTTTACTGTTTTTCAGTGCATTCTGGGTATTTGGGAAGGTCTCAGAAGGTTATCGTTCAAAAACGCTTCTAAACGCACATAAACACAGTATGCAAACGCGGCTAATCTGATGTTTTTTTTAACCTATGGTTTCCAGCAGTCAGTTCCCATCGTTCAGAAGAGTTTTCCAAACGCCCCGTGTACATGAGCCCTACATGAATAAATGTTTGCATATAGTGTTAAAGAAGAATGTTGCGCATGTTTGCATACTTACATTGGCCAGCTCGGACCAGTGTAGCTATACCTGGCCGATGTATAGTGGAAAAATGCAGCGCTAATTAGAACATAACGTCCCATACACAATAATGTAGATGACAGCACAGTCCATGTAGGTTTCCCATATAAAGAGATGAAGAGCCGTGCAAAGGCAAGGAGTTCCAATCCAAAAGAGGGACCACCACCATACACCCAAATAAATTTGGCCTTTTACCAAAAGTGTTTGACTATGCAAGTCAGTCAACATAAGTAGTGTTCTAAATCTAACAGGTGCTGCAACTGGTTCTTGCATAGAAATGCTCACAGGGTCATCCAAGATGTTCCTCCAAAAAGAGCTTCTAATGGCAAACTCCCCATCAGGCCACCAAAGCACCACATGAAAAGAAGAATTGCCCACATAGTGTAGTAAATTCAAAGTTAAAAGCTGATTTATTGAATTACACTTACATAGCAAGCAAAAAAAAAAACAGCATATCAATGACACTGTGATAAGTTTCTAACCGAGAGGATGGCCGCTGTCCCTCCAGAGCACAAAGACATCACACGGTGTGACTCCCCTACGTGTTTTGTCATCAAGACATTGTCAGAGGGCCACTCCCCCTCATTGAAGAGCGTTCCACAGACCGGAAACGGTGCCTCAGACCGGGAAATGGAGGCAGGAGTTAACCACCTCCACATAACAATGCATTCCACCTACAGGAAGCACAAAACACCAGTGGGGAGTAACAGTGGATCCCATTTTACAGGGATCAAATGAGTATGTTACCAAAATAATGCCAGAAATTGCCATAATAGCAACGAATGGTTAACCTTAATATAAATTTGTACTTTAAAGAACATACCTGGCCGATGCCCTGGAAGGTTGGAAATCACTGAAGTAGACACCGCTACTCCACTGATCTCCACTTTCTTCTGGGTCTCATACTGAGTGACCAGCCTAATTCCACTGTGAACATAGGAGGTTTACCACTCAACATGTGCACTGTTCAGAGTGCGCTTTGCATTTTCTAAATGAATGCAAAGTATTCTCTGATTGGATGAAGTGGAAATGCGGGGTGGTGATGTCATACTCTCCTCCTCGTTCAATCAGAGAATGCCTTGCATTCATTCTGAAAATGCAAAGCATTCTCTGATACCAGTGCTGACGGACTGATCCCTGTATTTTGTAAACAGCGAGGCAGTCACTCAGCACAGACCCCAGAAGCTAGTGGAGCTCATTTAGGGCAGTGCATCAGGCTGGCCACTCATCATGAGACCCAGAAACAAGTGGAGATGATAGTGGCGTCTACTTCGGTGATTTCCAGCTTCCAGGGGCATAGACCAGTTATGGCATATACTGTACATAGTTACGTTACCAAGCTGGACCACTGTAACTATGTGAAAATATACCATGGCTGGAATTATTTAATTGCCTATCTTATCTGTTCAGCTCTTCGACGAAGACACGTTCATTGATATTTTGCTTGCTTGCCATGAAGTGGTCTTGGCAGACAGCTTGTATGGACAGAATTTTCTGTGTCTCTGTATATTGATCATGGAAACCTCTATAAGTTGAGCTTTCCCCACTGGGCACTATGGATACTGTATTACCCAAGAGTACAAGAATGGTAATACGTAAATACTATTAGCAACATTAACAAATTTTGATACTGCAAAGCAGTACAATAAAACAGACACAGATATGTTAGCTATGCTGTGATAAAAAAATGTATCTTGAGAGATAAAATACCCTTTCTATACGCCTCTGTTCTTGTAGTGCACCTGTGATGAGATAAATACAGGGGCTGCCACTGATGACGTTCTTCTGAAAAGTCTAGTCACCTGAATGTTATGCTGGCATACTGAACTGAAATAAATATGCAGATCGGGAAATTTGCTGAAAAGCCAAAAGTCCTCGCTTACACATACTTGAGAGGTCAGCAGCGGCGGCCTCAATGTTATTTCTTAAACCAGCCATAGACGAATCGCTATTTGTCCGGTTGCTATCGCATTTCAGTCCATTTATGGGCAGGCTGGTTGTACTGCAATGATCGCTTCATAACTTCAGTACATCTTGCCTGTCTTTTTTTTTTTCCTTCGTTCAATCACTGCCGGTGACTATAGCAGCCAGCAGTGATCATTGTATTCTGACAGATGTGAAACCTCCTGCTGTCCTAAAACTAAAGCTCTGCGGGAGGGATTCTGACTGACTGTGTTGATGGGGGAATCGAGAAATTTTCTTTTCTGCAACCCATGGTTTCAGGAAAGAAAATTGCTTAATGTAAGGCGTACTTGATGTTGGGTTTTCTTTACATGCAATGCCAGCTATCCTCTAACTAAGCTATCTTGAGCACACCTCTGCATTGTGCTTCTTTTAAAATTGTTCAGTTTGTTCACTAAGGCTCAATTTGCTCCCCTTTTGGATGCCACCATTTTGCTTAGAGCATGACTTCCTGAGAACATGTTGTTAACCAGTTTCCAGAGGCCATAACCAAAGGCACAAGTCTGTTATGGCTTGATCCTGTCCATGATCTGTAAATTTGCAACAACATTGAGGGCAAGGTGACAGATCCATGTTACCAAACAGAGAGCATGGACAGGGAAGTTTTATGAAGCTTCAATGTCAACTAATTTAAAAAAAAAAGGATGAAATTCCCTACACAAAACCATACTTAGAACCTTTTGAAGGATGCTTTCTTTGGGTCAAGAGAGCAAAACATACGAATACACAAAACGGGGTATCATCAATGACGTACAAATACACAAAATAGGGTGCCATAAACTATCTACTTTTAGGAAATGGACCGGTTCGGTTTATATCACATATGTCTTGGCTCTTTGACCGAGAAAATAAAAATATGCATGCATCTGCAGATTGGTCATCTCCTTTCTGGTAGTAGATGACTCGTTCTGCACCACATTTGGCCGGTGATAGCCGTGTCTGATAAGTGGCTTATGGGACAAAAAAAAAATAGACTTTTGCACATGTTACTGTGACCCCCTAATTAGAACAATTTCTGTATAGCTCAAAAAATCTCCAAGTACAACCATAAGTAAGGACTTCAAACCCTTTTTATTGATATTCAGCACTTGTGGTTGCTTCCAGGTCTTTTCTGTATGTAAAGCACATTTTCCTTACAGACGTACTTGGTGTCTATATAATGTACAGCCTTTTGTTACTGAAGGAACCAGATCCACCACTGAGACACAATGTACTAAGGTTTCTGTAAGATTCTCTTGTATAA